CAGTCATTTGCTCCATATTACTTGTAGGGGAGGAAAACTTTTCCTCTCTTCCCTTCTAGGTTCTTTGGCTGGTTTGATATAATTAAATTGACACAAGGCAGATTAACAGGAGAAAAACAAATTATTTTAATTTTATATGTATGGGAGCTCATCAAAATATGAAATTCAAAGAAGTGACCAAAGTAGGCAGCTTTTATACCTTTGAGACAAAGAGGCAATAAATCCGTTAAGAGTTGAAAAGACAAAGATGTTTGGGCTTGGGGTACCAAATTAATGAAGAAATAACAAGGTTTATTTATATAGCCTTCTTTGTCCTGCATTGCCTATCTCTGGCAGTAAGGATGCTTTCTATCTCCCAGATGCAGGGAGGGTACCTCTCACATGGGGAAATTTATTTCTTGGTTTCAGGGTAACAGGAAAGTCAGAGTGTCTTTCTTGCACTAGCTCTTTCTTGAGTAACTTCAATTAAAAATAATATGTGAGGGTGGCATATTGGGGCAGCCTGCTCTGAGCTAGTTTCCTGTTAACAGTATTTTCCTGTGCCTCGGAGCTGTTGTTGAGTTGAATGAGCCCAGGTACAGAAAATCTGTTGACAAATATTTCTGATAGACAACAGTCTTCTCTCCCTTGAAAAACCCACAAAACTGTATTGAGAACTGGTGAATCAGAGCTGTGAAAAAAAGGAATTCATGGGATTCGTGGGTAGCTCATTCCTACTGGGATAGGGTCCCATGTTGGGCTCTCTGCTCAGCAGGGAATCTGCATCTCCCTCTGCCTCTCCTTCTGTGCGGGCTTTCTCTCAAGTAAATAAAAATCTTCGAAAAAAAAAAAAAAAGGAATTCATAACTAGGGAAATTGATTTAGCCTTTCCTTTAGGGTGTTGTGGGGTTTTTTGTTGTTTTTAATAACACTAGTCTTGGGATCTGCTTGAGGGCAGGGTAGAGGATTTTAAGATCAAGTAAGTTTGGGAAATCATATCTGCTCTAGTCACCTATTGGTGATTAATAATGCACATTAGCACCTAGCACCTTAAGGTTTGCAAGAAGCCTTACGTAGAGTCAGTATATCTGTTTTATTTAATGTGGTGTTTTCCAGATCTCTTAACCCTTTTACTGAATAACCATTTAACGTTCCTTAGAACAAATGTTTCTTAGGGTACATATTGGGAAAGTAGACTATTGCTTTTAGTGTACATGACTTTAATATCAAAGTTTTGAATAAAATATGGGTATTCTTGAGCCCAAAGAAGTGTGAAGGCATTCTGAAGAGCCAGTTGTTACACTTTCCTCTTGTTGTTTGGCCATCTAAATATCAGTGTACCTTTGTATTTGGCTCCCTGGTATAGGAGATGATTTGGGAGCAGTGTATCATTATGGAAGATTCTGTGCAGTGGTAATTGCTGTAGAAACCTTTATTCTTTTTTCTTTTCCTTCCACTTTTTTCTTTTCCTTCCACTTTCGTTGTTCATGGTCTTTCACAATGAATGTTTGGAGTGGTACCAGGCATTTTGGAAAATGGGTGCAAAACCTTGGAGATAAAGATAATTGGTTGTGACCTTGGGTCATCAGTTTTAGAGAATTAAAAGACCTTCTACTGCTTGGGGTAGCATTGGCCCTTCACTCATCCTGTTTGCTGCTACCTGAGGGACTGGGAGAAGCAACTAAGGACCTTTAACTATCCCAGGAAGATGTGCTCAACTCTTCACATGGTGGATACCCTCACCTTGGGAATTGGTGTCTATAAAACATTCAGCCTTGCTGCCAATAGCTGTCACAGATGTCGAGTTTCTGAGATGGATGAGCTGTGGAACAAAAAAGCATTGCCAAAATGTACCTATTGATAATCATCACTTTTTATTTTATTGGTACATCCTAATTTAATATCTCATTCAATTCTCATAACATCCCTTTTATAGTTAAAGGAGAATATTTGTGATTCCTCAGTAGGGTGCTAAGACACAAACTTAAATAACTTGCTCAGATTCATAAGCCTGCTTAGTTTTAATTACGGGATCAAAACTGGATTCCAGGTCTCCTGTCAAGTGCTCCAAACAAGTGCTCTTTTTGCTAACTGCATTGACAACCTAGTTTTGAGGTCAAGTGTTTAAATTAAAAAAAATAATAATAAAAGGTTTCTCCTGCTCTGCAAAAGTAGAGTGCTCCTATGAAACCTTTCAAAAGCCGAAATGGCATAAAGTGGAGAAGCACTTACCATTAATTACGTGGAAAATTTTTTGAGCGTTCCCAGGCTCAGGGTATAACCTCTCATAGGATTTTCTGATACCTTAGGATACACCTAGCTAATGCATGCACAAGATAAATTGGTATAAAGCACAGATGTTCATAGACACAGTTCAGACCTGTGGCAGCTTGGTGCTGCGATGCTGGGTGGTTCCTGGGGAAGGAGCTGGGCGGGGCATTTGTTCCTCTGCTTGGGATGTGTTCTGTCTCTTCAAGGGCCCCAAACACAACAAACACTTAACACTATTTTTACCTATTTTCATAAAAACAAAAATCCTCTTTGGATTTCCTTCAGTTAGCAAAAATAGGTACCAGGGTAGGTCTTTGTTAAAGCGAAGTGCTGTAACATGGACTTCAAAAAGTGGGGTCACCTCTATTTGCATTTGTATTTTATGGTTTTATGGCTTAGAAAATTCGATGGCTAGGAAACTAGTATTATTAGTAGTATTGTGTTCTTTTTAGAAATGAGAAAAATGAGGCCTAGAAAGATTGACCTACCCAGTGTTACGTAGTTTGCAAGTGAGAGCTGCGACTGAAACTTAGCTCCTTTTTTGTCCAATGTTTTCCCAGATAAACCAAGCTGTTGGTAGATGGTGTCTTTAGTTGAGGACAATAAGTATTTGTTTAATAGAACTTAATCTTTTTGCGAAGTCTTCAGCCCTGTTGCTTAGTAAAGGTAAACTTAAGATTTTAGAGAGTATTAGACTTTTCTCTCATATCCAGGCTATAGACCAGGATTATACTGACCCACTTCATTGAATGTATCACTTGAATCACACACCTTTTTGGAGTTGAAGTAATAGGTCTAGAAAAGGTAGGTGACTGGGGATGCCTAGATGGCGCAGTCAGTTAAGCATCTGACTCTGGATTTTGGCTGAGGTCATGATCTCAGGGTTGTGAGATCTAGCCCCACATCGCTAAGATTCTCTTTCTTCTTCTCCCTCTGTCCCTCCCCACCCTTAAAGGAAGAAATGAAGGGAGGAAAGGAGGGAGGGAGGAAGGGCAACTGATGTTGTTTCTCACAGGAATCAAGGGAAGAATTAGGACTGAGATTGTATGTCAGCAGTAGGATCAAGGCATGAGGCCACATAAGGAGGAACTGGACCAGAATTGGCCTTTGTCAGGAGCCTAAACTGTAGCATGGGATTGAAATGCATAGTTAATTCTGTTTGTAGGCTCAGCCTGGGCACTTGATGATGTTTCCTAGGCCAGAACAGCAAGGTAGGAATGACAGCCCACCAGAGGGGAGAGCCTAGCAAAGATCCAGGAAATAGAAGTGGTTGTCAATTTACCCATCTAATTATGTGGAACAGTTATTGAATCTCTTGTTGATAGTCTCTTTCTTGTTCTGCAGAGGCCTTTGAAATTGATGTAACACTCTGACCCTCCAGTCCAGATGTATTAGGTATGAAGCAGCTCAGCTTAAATTGGCTCTTTACATCAGTCTATGAAAGGATATTGCAACTAGACTGAATGAGAGCAAGGTGCTGAGTGTAGGTCAGTGGTTCTCAAATTTTAGGGAGAGTCAGAATCACCTAGAGGACTTGTTAAAACACTTAACTGGGAGAAGAGTTTCTGCTTTAGTTGGTCTAGGCTAGAGCTCAAAATTTTGTAGTTGTAACACAATCCAAGTTGTTACTGATTCTGCTGGTCTTGGGATCACACTTTGAGGACCACTGATGTAGAAAAAGATGATAAAGTGGGTATAGCTGTTTAGTCCCCCTTAATTAAGGCCTTCGCAGAGGAGGGAAAGGGAATTAACATTTAAATTTAAGGCTCTACCATAGTCAAGACTCTGTGGAGGTGATTTACAATCATTATTTAATCCTTGAAACCCCTCTGTGGAGTATTTTCCTATTTCCCCCCAACATAAACATGTTAAAAACTTATTGGAATAATTCCTTTTTTAACATTTTTTAAAAGATTTTATTTATTTGTCAGAGAGCAAGAGAGCAAGCGCACAAGCAAGGGGAACAGCGGGCAGAGGGAGAAGCAGGCTCTCCACTGAGCAAGGAGCCTGACCGAGACTTGATCCCAGGACTCTGGGATCATGACCTGAGCCAAAGCAGACGCTTAACTGACTGAGCCACCCAGGCACCATTGTTGATTTTTATGTATTCATTACTCTTTTTCTTTTTTTTTTTTTTTAAAGGATTTATTTATTTGTCAGAGAGACAGAGAGAGTACAAGCAGGCAGAGTGGCAGGCAGAAGCAGAGGGAGAAGCAGGGTCCCCATGGAGCAAGGAGCCCAATGTGGGACTCAGTCCCAGGATGCTGGGATCATGACCTGAGCGGGAAGGCAGCCTCTTAACTGACTGAGCCACCCAGGTGTCCCTCTTGTAGATATATAACAGATTTAAAATGTGGGTTAATTTTGCAGGAATGATTATGCAATACATGGAATTAAATATTGAGAATACTTTCTCATGCAGAACATAAAGTGAAGGGGAGCTTTACTTTAACATTAAATACATCTTTCAGATCACAGGAAAAGATAGACCTCAGTTAATTTTGTCAGGGTGTTTTTTTTTTTTTTTTTCTCTTTTAATGTTGCCAATTGGTTATTGACCTATCCTTTTTTAGAAACAGAGAGAGGAATGGTGAATTTCAGAATAGTTGCTACTAAGAAATGACCAAATTCTTGAGATTGCAACCATTAAGCCTTACTCTTCTAAAGTGTTCTTTGTTAATGTCATTTTTGAAAGGTCAGCTTGTTTTTAATGGTGCTCAGTGAAGTTACTTTGTGTTGTTGTTTGACAGATTCACACAGAAATACTAAAACATAAATAAAAAGCACTGATCCAAACGTTTGAATTGAAGGCATTCTGGGAAAACCTGCCTTTTATTGTGAAAATCGTCTTTGATCTTGAAATTAAAAGTAAAGCTGGAAAAGAATTTACAAACGAGGAAAAAACAAAGTTTGGGATCGGACTCACAGGATCTGGGCTTGGAAATGCCTCAGGTAAATCATACAGAGTAGGTGCAAAGTTTTATATTTTCCCACTGCAGAAAGTCCATACTATTGGTTCTGTAAGTTCTCTGAATCTTAACACAGCTTGACAAACTCCCTTTTTAAGACATTTTATTTCTGATCTCAGCTAGTTTTGAATACATGTCCATCCTTCCATTGCTTCTGTTTCCTCCTTTGCTACACTTTGAAATGTAATGAGCTTGACGTGGGGAAATGTGGTGAATGAAAATTTGGTTAGAAGTGGGGGCCAGATCTGCTGGCTTTAAGGAGGCTCACCCAACTCCCCTGAAAATTAATCTGCCACAGAAAGCCCACTTCCATCTCCTTGTCTGCTTCCTGTTTCCCAGTTATTCCTTTATTCCTTTCCATTTATGCCTTTTGAATTTAAAAGTAGTTAGGAAATGGTGAGAGATTTCAACCTTTCTCTTTCATATATACACATATACTCCCCATACGTATATATACTTTTCAGAAAAGGTTACTGAGAATGATTAGATCTATTTATATTGTGGTAACTACTTTGAATTGATCAGTCCTGGTTTGAGGCAATCTCTGAAGTAAAAAAAGAAGCCCTGTTTTTCCCCACTGCACATCCAGACTTCTTCCTGTCCTCCTCCAATGGTTAGCTCTTACCCTCTTCCCTCTTTGGGTTCAGTGCTGAGGAGAAACGCAGAAATAAGGAGAGGGCAAGGACTCTTAGGTGGCTTCATGTAGGGCCAGGCAGAATTATGCCTTGAGCACAGAAAATAAGCACCTTGCTGGGATTATCCAGTGGCTCAGAGGCAGGCAGCAGAGGCAAAGAAAGGGGATTTGCTAGTTGATATTAAGAAGACCAGCGGCCTAGCTCCACCCCAATCTCCTGGCCAAGTGGATTACACATACTGATTGGGAGTTCTTTCCCATTTAGAGTTTAGTTTGGTGCTTGCGGACTACTTGAAGTTAGAGCTATAACACACTTACTTTGAGCTTGCAGCCTGGTAGGGTTGGGGAAAATTAGAGAAAGAAAAGACTGGATTGGGAAGTACCAGTGAAGAAAAACATGATGGGAGAGTATGTAAGAAGGCCAGTTTGTGGTAGGTAGAAGGTATATGAATAGAGAAATGTAAGCAAATAGATTAATAGAATCTTTTAAGTTTTAGCAAAAATTTGCAGATTAAGAACAAAAAGGCAAAGAGGGAATTTTTATTCTTTCACATCCTCTTCCTTCATCGAAGTTAGATTCCAGAGTGAGGCCTTTCACTTGTTTGGGCTGCTTTATGAGTGTGGGCCCTGACTTCCTTCTGGAGTGATTTGTATAGATGTTGAAATGGAAAAGTGGGTTGGAGAGAAAAGAAGGAGCATCATCTCTTGGTGCCAAGTCTTTTTCCCCTTATTTATTAAAGAATGACTTGTACCCTTTTCTGGGATCAGGATTAAGGCTGCTGAGCTCATGCCCAAGTTTCTGGTCTCACCAGTAAGATTTTGGGATATTTGGCTGATCCTGTATCTTCATCATCACATTCCAGGAGGCATTGGTTGCACTAAAGGTGCCCAAATTGTCTTTCAGATTGTTTGTGGAAATAAGACACTGGAGTCACTTAGGAGTACAGAATGAGACCAACCTGCTATTTCTGCAGACCCCAGGAAATAGGAGGGAGTGCTCAATATTGGGAAGATAGAAGAGGAAGTGTTGTTACAGATGGGTTTGAAGAAATGTTATATAGCCGAATAAAAGTACTCATTAGGTAGTGAATGCTGATTCTAGTGGCTGAATAAGCTTTAGTTTTTAGAAGTTAGGTATTAGTAACAGTTGCTACTCTTTTTCTATTTTTAGTGCATCTTCATTATTTTCCTAATTTAAGTTCACAATGTAAAGCTAGTTAAATTTCTCAAATGTGCTAAAGAGTAGAAAATATACAGAATTGTTGTAAAACTAAGAAGTTAGTAGGTGTCGGAGTTATGTGTAATAAATTGGTCTTGGAGTAGTCTTTAACTTTCTAAAGTTAAAATCATTCTGTTGTAGCCTAGTGTAAGCGGAATGGATCCGCCTTTTGGGGATGCCTTTCGAAGCCACACCTTTTCAGAGCAGACTCTGATGAGCACAGATCTCTTAGCAAACAGTTCAGATCCAGATTTCATGTATGAACTGGTAAGTAACATTTTCTTGGATTCTGCTTTAAGTTATTTGGGGTAAAAATATTGTGGTGTAGTTTTTTTTTTTTTTTTTATTTATAAATGCCTGAAAAGAAAAAAGGATATCAAGTTTGATTTTTTGACTGTCAGTCTAGTAATTTTAGAAGGCTTTATGAACCCATTGAAAAATAGTAAGAGCAGGGGAGGTGGGTGAGGGGATGGGTGAAACAGGTGAAGGGGATTAAGAGTACACTTACCATGATAAGCACTGAGTAATGTGTAGAATTGTTGGATCACTATATTGTACACCTGAAACTAAAATAACACTATATGTTAATTATATTGGAATTTTAAAATATGCATATGATTATAAAAGTAGTTATTTATATATAAATACATGCACACACACATAAAAGAAAATAGTAAGGGAAGAGTTTAAATATCTCCCAGTTCAGTTTTTGATGATGAGGATGGGAAGCTGTCTTTTTTGATATGCTGGACTGTTAAAGGACTCTTCAACTGGGATATTTAGGAATGATAACATTGAGCAAAGCATATGACACAGAGAATATGAGGTAAAAATAGCAATTCCAAGCAGTATACTTACCACTTATTCCCAAGGTAAATAGAAACCTAAGATTCCTAAGAAGAACATTTAAAAAATAATTTTAATTACATACAGCTTAAGCAACATGGAAGTATATAAAAACTGCAAGACTAAATATACAAATCTGTTAATTTACTGAAAATCATTGAATTGTACACTTAATACAGGTGAATTTTGTGGTCTGCAAACTGTACTTCTTTAAAGCTCTTAGAACACAGAGACACACACCCATAAGCAAAAACGAAGCAAGAAAGCCCCCACACAAATGCAAAAATCAAAACAAACTGGAAAAATGAAAATGTCCTCGTTTCCTTCCTGCACCTCCACCTTCTAAACCTTTTCCCCAAAGATAAGTACTCCTAACAGAGTCCTTCTGTTCATATGTAAATACATGAGTATTTTAAGTTGGATGACACATTCATAGATACTGTATACTGTAACTTAATCCTTTGAATGTAAAGACATCTGGTAAGCAGCCTCTCTTGCTAGTACATTAGACTTTAACTGCATTCTTTTTAATGGCTGCATGGTCTCACTAACACATTTTTAAAATCCTATCTCTGTCACACTCGTGAGGAGTATTGTAGTCCCCATGCCCAAGCGCTGTTAGCCAGGTCTAATCAAAGATCTTACCCTTCTGTGGTGGAATTTCAACTCCTCTTTGATTGGCTCTTTGCCTCTATTTTTAAGTTCTCACTTCAGAAGACAGTTTCTTCTGTGATGAAGGTAAGGTCTTCATTATTTGCTTTTAATTGAAGCTTGTTTCAAAGGAGAGCCTCAAATTTTTCTAAGTCAAAGATAAAGAAACGTAAACCTTTTTGAGAAAGAGTGTTTGTAGTAAAGTTTAAGAGTCCTTGATATTTAGACCAAACCTAAGCCTCTTGAGGGGCATATTTTCCCTTTGTTTTCCTTGTCCAAGAAAATGATATTATATGGACTGGTAAAGTGACATGTAAAGAGCCTTTATCTTAAAATAAAACAGACCAGAGGTCAAATACTGACTTGTCATTTTGGTACATGGATGTGAGGATGGAGGTGAATACTTCTTTCCTAAAATATGGTGTGTGATTTTTTTTTTTTAACTTTTCTCAGGATAGAGAGATGAACTATCAACAGAATCCTAGAGACAGCTTCCTTTCTTTGGAGGACTGCAAAGACATTGAAAATCTGGAGTCTTTCACAGATGTCCTGGATAATGAGGGTGCTTTAACCTCAAACTGGGAACAGTGGGATACGTACTGTGAAGACTTAACAAAGTACACCAAGCTAACCAGCTGTGACATCTGGGGAACAAAAGAAGTGGATTACTTGGGTCTTGATGACTTTTCTAGCCCTTACCAAGATGAAGAGGTCATAAGTAAAACTCCAACTTTGGCACAGCTTAATAGCGAGGACTCTCAGTCTGTTTCTGATTCCCTTTATTACCCTGATTCACTTTTCAGTGTCAAACAGAATCCCTTGCCCTCTTCATTCCCTAGTAAAAAGATCTCAAGCAGAGCGGCTGCCCCTGTGTGTTCTTCTAAAACTCTTCAGGCTGAGGTCCCTTTGTCAGACTGTGTCCAAAAAGCAAGTAAACCCACTTCAAGCACACAGATCATGGTGAAGACCAATGTGTATCATAATGAAAAGGTGAACTTTCATGTTGAATGTAAAGACTATGTAAAAAAGGCAAAGGTAAAGATCAATCCAGTGCAGCAGAGTCGGCCCTTGTTGAGCCAGATTCACGCAGACGCAGCAAAGGAGAACACCTGCTACTGTGGTGCAGTAGCAAAGAGACCCGAAAAGAAAGGGGTGGAGCCTCTTCAGGGACACGTCACTCCAGCTTTGCCTTTTAAAGAAACCCAGGAACTGTTACTCAGTCCCCTGTCCCAGGAGGGTCCTGGGTCAATTGCAGCAGGAGAGAGTAGCAGCCTTTCCGCCAGCACATTGGTCTCCGATTCATCCCAGAAAAAAGAAGAGCACAATTACTCCCTTTTTGTCTCTGACAACTTGGGTGAACAGCCAACCAAATGCAGTCCTGAAGAAGATGAGGAAGACGAGGACGATGTTGATGATGAGGACCATGATGAAGGATTTGGTAGTGAGCACGAACTTTCTGAAAATGAGGAGGAGGAGGAGGAGGAAGAGGATTATGAAGATGACAAAGATGATGATATTAGTGACACTTTCTCTGAGCCAGGTATGGTAATGCTTGGAGGCTTACCAAACTGACCTTTCTCCTGTCTTGAGATATGGGTGTTTCCTTTGCCTTAGTTTGGGGATTAAATGACTTACTATCTTGGCTCAAATAAGTAATTGCTTTTTTTCTATTCAGGCAGCTCTAAAATAATCACTTTCGCTCATATAGTGATTCAAAGGCTGATTCTTCGAGGGCTTCTTCTTAATTTATGTTAAGAGACTAATTTGTTACTCTCTGAGCAGCTGTGCAAAGATGCCAAGAATTGATTTAAAAATATTTCTATTTATATACATGTCCCTCTGTTACAGTCGAGGCAAGTTAAGAGTGCCCCAGTGGTAAACCAAGTGATGGTGCTTTATATTATTCATGCTTATAACCAACAAGACCTACTTCCTGAATAATGTAAAAAAAAAAAAAAAAAAACTTTTTGTGTCTGTCCCATCTTTCATTCACACAGTTTTTTTCCATTTAAGAAAAATACATGCTGTAATTTAATGAGCATGAAGGATTCTCTGCTTTTTTTTTAATACACAGCACATATAAATAAAAGGGAGGAAGAAAATGAAACCTGTGGGAATTGATTCACTTCATTCAGTATTTACATGCTTGAGCTGTTGCCACTGTTGGCTTGTGCAGTATTTATGAAAATGGTATTGCCAAGTGGCACACAGTTTAAAATGCACAAAGAAGTGAAGATCTTCAAATTTAAGCAAAAGTTGTTTTCTTCAAAAATAGTGTTGATGCTGTAACTTGTATGTAAAAAAAATAGTGTTGATGCTGTAACTTGTATGTAAAAAAAAACTAAGTTATTTTTAAAACCTTAGAAATTGCAAGAGCGCTCTTTTGTTATAATTGCTGGAATTTCTGGCAGTATGAAGATTGGTATTTAATTTTCAGAAAGGTTTTTAAGCCGTAGTAGATATATGGTATAGCTGGCGAAGCACTATTATTGCTAGAAAAAAGACTTTGCTTTAGTGAAATCTTTCTATTACACAAATGCTTAGATTTGTTTATTTGATACAACCAAATTTGACTTAGGTGGAGTTTCAAGTAAGGAAAAAGTACTTTAATCCGGAGGAAAAGGGCTTATGCCTTTTTTTGGTTTACTTTAGAACTCTGCATAGTTTAGATACAACAATTATTTTTTCTGCTTAGCAGGAAGATTTTTCTCTCAACAACTTAATAAAATTTGCTTTGAGGGGCACTTGGCTGGCTCAGTCAGTAGAGAGCATGTGACTCTTGATCTCAGGGTTATGAGTTCAAGCCCCATGTTGGGTGTAGAGATTACTTTAAAAAAAATCTTTAAAAAAATCTGCTTTGAGGTGTTTCAGGAAAAGTTGTGTTTGTAGCTAGTGGTAAGTTATATAGCTCCCTCCCATGGTAAGCCCAGACTGCTGTCTATGAGTAATCTTCAAGGTCTGACCGATCAGCCCTATCGCTTTGAGTTCCATATTTAGGATCAGGGTAGGAGGGTAGGGGAAGGGTGAGACAGCGGGAAGATGGGTAATAACTTAGGGAAATGGAAAATGTGGAGAAGGAGGGGTTTGTCCCAGTAGATGCTTAAAGAAACATGTAAGTCAGAGGGAGTCAGTAAATCCTGCCATCACCAAGGACTATGCTGTCTACCCGACTTCTGGTTGTAGTTTTGCTTTTATCTTGTAGTGTGTTTTTACCTGGATAAGTGTGTTGAGAGATGACTAGGTCTGTGAAGAGAGATCACTTAGTAAGTTGACCCTCATTTGCATTTTGTCAACCTTTTAACTCTCATGGGTGGGAGAGAGGAACCAGTGTTATAGCTGGTGTTGTCCTGTCATGCCACATTCCCTTGCCTTGTCTTCTCTAGAAGAATCCTGTTGTGTGAGCTTGTTGGTGGTAACCAACACTACTTTGAAACAGAGATGCATTGGCTGGGTAAAACTCTCCTCTTGACTCTGTTTAACAATGCTGAATGTTTGGATGGCATTTAATTCACTCCCTTCTAGTTGACCTGAAGTAAAGCCCCTTTGGTTAGTATTACTTGGCCAGTTCTCACAAATGTTAATGAATGACATGATTTAACCACAAAATCAACACAATTTTGTGGTATTATTTGGGCTCTATTCATATTTGCTAATGAAAATTTCCCTTTTTCTTAGAAGAAAGAGCTAAACAAGTGACTTCAGGAACGCAGAAGTGAATTATTGGTGGGAAGCAGGAAGAAATTCTTTGAAGCAAAAAAGTGAGGATAGTTACGGTTTTTTCAGAGTGCTAGTTTTAGAGTGGGTTGATTGGTTTAATTTGCAGCAGTTTACAAAGGCCCTTTTGTGATGACTAGCTCCCTTGATGCTGTTTCTTGGCAGTTGGCTACAACAGTGCCTGAGCCTACAAAGCTCCAGGAAAGGTGTAAAATGGAGTTTCAGTCCCTCCTCTGGCCTCGCTCCCAAGTTTTAATAGAGCCTATTCTGTGGACAGGCTCTGACTGTTTGGGGTCATTGGGATTACATGGTGTAATACTAAGAATTGGGCCCCCAGAATGAAAGTTTATTTTGTAATCTGTACTAAACATTTTCACGATTGACTTTACCAATAGTCTGCACTAACCAAAGCTGTATGGTTAGAATTTGACACAATAAATGTAGCCTTTTTGACTTACATTTGATAATCATGTCAGATAAGCTCAATAGAAGCTAGACTCCTTGCGTCATGGGACTTGAGTCAGTTCTAGCTCTGCCAAATCACTTAAAGCCTCCATGAGCATGTTTCTTTTTGTAAATGGGGTTAATGATACCTTTTTTACTGGGCTGTCAGAAGTCTCAGAGTATCTCTAAGTGAAATATATAAGTATATTAAATGAAAAGGACAGTGTTTTGCCAGAAGTCCAGGCCACCTGAGGAGGGTTGCTAAATTGGGGAGAATATCAAAACAGTTATCAGAGGGATGGGATGCCTGAGGAAGTTGTATATGAAAAAGTTTCCTTTATGCTTTGGGCCAGGGTAGATTTAAATATGGAATACTAGTTCTTCTATTTTTTTAATTGAAGTATAATTGACATACAATATCCTTTTAGTTTCAGGTGTGCATCATAATGACTGTGCATCATAATTACAACATGATCCCCATGATAAGTCAGGTTACTGTCTGCCACCATACAGAGGGTTGGGTTTTTTTTTTTTTTTTACTTATTTTTTTAAGTTTTTATTTATTTTTAGTTAAGTATGGTTGGTATATAATATTAGTTTCAGTATATAATATAGTGATTCAATATTTATGTACATTACAAAATGATCTCTACATTAAGTCTGGTTACCAACTGTTGCCATACAAAATTATTACATTATTGACTATTTCCTAAGTTGTACTTTATATCCCATGACTGACTGGCTTTATAACTGGAAATTTATACCTCTTAATCCCCTTTACCTATTTTCCTCCTCCGTATCTTGTATATGGTTTGTTTTTTGTATTGTGAATCTGTTTCTGTTTTGGTTTGGTTGTTTTGTTTTTGTGGAACACCAGTTCTTGACATTGGTAGGCAGTTGGAAGTGTTTTTGTTGGTCCATCTGCTTGTGTTGAGGTGGTCCCAGCCATACTAGGTTAATCTCTCTGAGCCAGTAGTTTGTTCAAGCCAGTAAGTTTTTCTTGGCCTGGTGGAGCCAGGTGTTTGGAAAATGCCATTTCTGGTAGCACCGTGTGGCCCTTGCATCTTTCCGAAAGCTAGGTTGATCACTGTAACAAGATGAAATCCTTAATTTGAAGTGTGGCATTGGCACAAATAAATAGGCCAAAGTTATTGTTTTATGTATCTAACACAAGTTCTAAAAATCTGACTTCTAGAAATGATGGTGTGACTTGTTCATCATTTCTTCGTAAGAAACTAGAGTTCACTGTCACACTCCTTGCCATATTGTTTTAAACTACCACATTTGCACTTTAATGCTGTTAATACCAGCATTTCTACAGAAACTTCTCTTGATTGTTGCCTTTGAAATCATTCTGGTCTCCACATTGATTCTTTTTTAAAAGGTTATGTTTATTGAAGTATAGGAAGTATAAATATGAAATTCGCCCTTCTTTAAGTGTACACTTCTGTGAGTTTTGAAAAGTGCTTGTAGTGCTGGTAACCGCTACCACCATCAAGATACAGAAGAGTTTCATCAACCCCCCCTAAATTTCCCTTGTGTTCCTTTATTTATTATTTTTTAAAAGTTTTATTTATTAATTTGACAGATCAAGCAAGCAAGAACACAAGCAGGGGAAGCAGCAGGCAGAGGGAGAAGCAGGCTCCCCCCGTGAGCAGGGCCCTGGGATCATGACCTGACCTGAAGGCAGACACTTAACCGACTCCCACCCAGGCGCCCCTGCCTTGTATTTTTTTAGAGTCAGCCCTCCCTCCACTCCCAACGCCTGGCCCACCGCTTTCTAGTTTTGCCTGTAGTTTTGGCTTTTCCAGAATGTCATACAAATGGAGCTATATTTCTGCAGATACCATCACTTTTTTAGTGTCAGTTCCAGAGAAGTCATGTTTTTAGGAGACAAAATGGTCATTCTGCTTTGTCAGTGCTACCCAAGTTTTCCTGTCCACCTTAGTGTTATATACATCCTACGTGGCGTCCATCTCCACTCCTCCATGTACTTAGCAGTAATGACGGGGCGTACACTAAGATGGGCATTCTCTGAGGGTATTTTAGATTTGTAGGTCATCCTGGTGAGGTCTGACCAACAGTTCTAGCAGCTCAAAATTAAGTTTTTTTCTGAAACTCTCCCTTAGTAAGGAAAATAACTTCTTAAAAAAAAGTGAAGTAAATGCATATTGCTTCCAGTAAAATATTAAACTAGGCATATGTGTTTTTATTTGTGAGTCTGTGAGAGCACTCTCATTTTTGTACTTTTACAAAAGGGGTAGGGTGGGAGGTAGGCAGAAAACCTATTCTATGGACAGGTTACTGCCTCACAAAACTCTGGTAGGATACAATCATAGAAATGCACACACTTGTCTGTCTGGGAGTGTTTTGGATGCATAAATTTTAGAAGGAAGGCATTTTAAATCATAGTGTAGGGTCTTAGTACCATGATCTAATGGTGCATTTGACATTCCTGGAGCTATATTTCATTATTCTCTCAGTGAGCGCCTATGTAAAGATATTTTAAAAAGATTTCCTACACTAACTCATACGAACCAGAGAGAACTATAAGGAGGATAAACAGTATAGTTACCTATGATTATTAGTCTCTGAATATTTTATGAGTTAGAGAGCTCCATATTAAAAGTCATTTTATAAACCTGGTCTGTTATCTTTGATATGCCAGTGATGTTTTCAGATGAAAGGAAATATATCAAGTGACAAATGGAAGAGATCTTTTTATTTGCCTTGATTGCTTTATTGAAATTTATAGACCTTAAGAAATTGGGGATGGGGGGCTTTCCTTTTTTTTTAAGGCTATGAAAATGATTCTGTGGAAGACTTGAAGGAGATGACTTCAATATCCTCTCGGAAGAGAGGTAAAAGAAGGTACTTCTGGGAGTATAGTGAACAGCTCACCCCATCACAGCAAGAGAGGATGCTAAGGCCATCTGAATGGAACCGAGACACCTTGCCAAGTAATATGTACCAGAAAAATGGCTTACATCATGGTAAGAGGGAATTGTGGTCAAACATTTCATGTCACTAATACAGAGATCATAAACCATGTTTCCTGTCCATGTACCTACGTACTCAGCCCTTACTAGTGAAGTGGAGAGGGGAACAGGAGAGCTGCTGTATTAGCTATCTCTGCAGAGATACTCACAAATAGCATTTACTGTTAGTGAGAGCCATCACCTAAACAGGGAGGAAGCTCTGTGCAGAAATGATTTCTGGTCACTTCCTATTCTATTTACCCTGCCCAGGAAGGGACCAGTAGACTGCTGATTGATTGCTGACCTGCCACAGTTGCAATAGACCAAAAGGGTTGGGGAGAAAGGGAATGGGCTCCAGCATCTTTCTCTTCTGTTCTTGTCCAGTCTCCAGGCTGAAATGTAAATAGGGAGATTGGAATCAAATGGTGGTGGGAAGAAAAGAGGAAGCAGAGGAAAGGTAATAATTGTAGAGAAAAGAAATGGAGAGATAAGAGTTGAATGGTAGGAGTTGGGAGAAGCTTATAATCTTAGGCGAAGTTTACCTCGGAAGATGTAATTAAGTAGAATTTCTTCTTTTATTTTGTATGATCCAAAATCTGTACCGAAAGGGCGGAGAGCACTAGTAAGTTTGGCACTCAATGAACAGTTTTAGTAATCTCTCATGCTACAGATGTAAGTTGCTAAGCAATTTTGTTTTGACACAGGAATTATATCAGAAGTATATTTGTGCCTCATGTTCCCTCTCCACTGGCACTCAGTCTGTACGGTACTGTTCTTAGTGAATAGACCTGGTTTTGGCCTTCACATTAGTTTTCTACGAGAAATGAAAAGACAGGTCCAGTAAATGGTAGGTAGCACATGGCCAGTATGAGGAAAATTGTTTGGTATATTGTAGTTCAGAAGGCCAGGCCATCTCTGTTGCCCTCAGTGATAGGGCAAGACCCCCAAGTCTTCTGTAATGTTATTTATCAAACTAACCAAGGAAGAGCTTTCACAAAAGGCAATACTTACTTTTTGGCCTTTTGAGTCCAGCACCAGAGTATATGTCTGGGAAATTTTCAGTCGCAGCATCAAAACATCTCGGTTTGAGTAAAATCTGTTTCTTTTCTGGGTGTATGTTCCACCCTTGCCCTGATTTTTGGGTACAATGAACTTACGCTCCAGTCCCAAGGTTTGTGATGCTTATTACCACTATGCATGTAATTAAGATTCTGTAATACCAGGGCTAGAAACTTTAAGGTGGAGAAGGACTTGGCAGGGACTGGAGCTGTGCCATATTTCCCCAATTTCTTGGAGGCACAGGTGGGAAGGAGAGGAGGCTAGCCCTTTTAGCATATCATGCTGAGACTTCTGAAACATGCCAGGACTTGACGGAAGGGTGAAATGTGGTTTTAAAATATGGCTGTAGAATATATCTTTGGTGAAATAAAATGATCTAATTTAAACTTCTTTTAAACCATCTGTAGGGAAATATGCAGTAAAGAAGTCACGGAGAACTGATGTAGAAGACCTGACTCCAAATCCTAAAAAATTACTCCAGATAGGCAATGAACTACGGAAACTGAATAAGGTGATTAGTGATCTGACTCCGGTCAGTGAGCTACCCTTAACAGCCCGGCCAAGGTCAAGGAAGGAAAAAAATAAGCTGGCTTCCAGGTAAATGCTAATCATGTTCACCTGTGTAAATAAAGTCTTGGTGGTGAGATTTTAGACTTTCAGTGAGCTTTTATAGATGATCATCAATCATTTATTCAGAAATATGCTTTTATAAATATTATAATGAGAATATTGTAATTTTTCCTTTAAAAATAAAAGATGGTATTTATGCTTTGTTTATGCTTCATAATACCAAAAGATGGTGTTCTGCTTTTAAAGGGGAGAGGTGAATGGACTCAAGTGCATTGTATTATAAAAATGTAAAAATTTATCATAGTTTTACTTTTTCTTTGTTTTATGATAGGTCATTTTTTAAATTGGGGTTATGATTTACTTGAAGTAAAATGTTTACCTTTTAATGTACACTTTTATGGGGTTTTTAAAAAAGATTTACTTAGAGAGAAAGTGAGTGCCAGTAGGGGGAGGGGCAGAGGGAGAGGGAGAGAGAGAATCCCAAGCAGACTCCAAGTTGAGCATTGGAGCCCAGTGTGAGGCCTGATCTCACAACCCTGAAATTACGACCTAAGCGAAAACCAAGAGTCTGTTGTTTAACCAACTGAGCCACCCAGGCTTGTCTATGGTACACTTCTTTGGGTTTTGACAAACGTATCCAATCATATAAACACCACCACAATCACCAGTAATCATCCATTTAAAAAATTTCCTCATGCCTCCTTGTAAAGGAAACTCCTTCTGTCACCCCTAATCCCTCCAACCACTGATCTGTTTTCTGTCCCCAGAGTTTTGCTTTTTCTAGAATGTCATATAGATGGAATCCTATGATATGTAGCCTTTTGACTCTGGCTTCTTTGATTTAACATGATGAATTTGAGATTCATGTTTATCCATGTTGTTGAGTAATAGTTTGTTCCTTTTTATTGCTGAATAGTATTCCTTTTTAGGGATATACTACAGTGTGTCCATTCACCAACTGAAGGATATTGGACCAGCTTCCACTTTTTGGCAATTATATGTTTATAAGAAATTGCCAAAGTAGCTATTTCTGAAGTAATAATGTAAAATTTTTTAAAAAATCACTGTTTTTCAAAGTAGCAGCATGTGGTATTTTATATCCCAATTAGCAATATGTGATGGTTCCACTTACTTTACATTCTCTTGGTATTGTCAGTTTTTGTTGTTTATTTTAGTGTATTTGTCATTATTTTTGGATGTGTGCTAAAATTTTCAAAAGTCGTTTGGATTAATGATTATATTGTATGTTTTTTGGAAACTGAGTTCCTTGATAGAAACATCAGTAGGCAGTGATTTTTGGTTGTTATTAGAAAATGTTTGACAGCAGCAAAAAGAAGTATATTCTGAATGTTCACTTAAAAAAAGAAGTGAACTAATTGCTCCTTCCTTTCACAGGGCTTGTCGATTAAAGAAAAAAGCCCAGTATGAAGCTAATAAAGTGAAATTATGGGGCCTCAACACAGAATATGGTAAACCTAAACTTTTAAGAATTTGATTAATCTCCTATTACTTTGCCAACCATTCTCTTTTTCTTTGGTTTTGTTATCTGCCTTCCCTGTATCCTGCCAAGTTTTAGGCCAGCCTCCTTTTCATTCATTCAGTAAGCTACGTACTCACTCTTATTCATTCATGTTCTCCTTTTAGTGAGTGTCTGTATCTGTGGCTCCCCATGCCAGATCTCCTCTCTCTCCTAAAGAGCTTCTCTACTTGTGACCACAATAATCTCCTACTTCATTTTACAATTATGTTGCTGTGTTAGCCAGTTTTAGTGACTAGTGTTTATTTTAATCTCTGAGTGGATAATTTAGATGTGTATTTTACAAATTTGACTGCTCATTAGAATCATCTGTGTACATGCTAACGTACAGATTTCTAGGCTTCTCCCCAGATCCAATGAATTGGAATCTGTGCAAGTAGAACTCAAGAGTACATATTTTTAACACTACCCCCATATTACACTTAGGCAACTATCTTAGCACTTATTTGGTAACTGTTGGTTTAGCTCGGTACCGCCCAGTCTATGACAACATGGCACATGTAAAAATTATCATCACTGAGGTATCTTGGAATTTATCAGAGTAGGCTGCTCATGGGAAGGGAGGCCCCTGTGGGCTGAGAGGATTAGCATCTCAAACACCTGGAACCCTTTTACCGTACACTAGAGGTTTGGAAAGCTGTGGTTTTGATCTTCTGTAATAACCACCTTTCCTTTCCTCCTTGCTCTCTTACTATTCCTTAAGCCTGGTGTCATAAGAGTTCGTATGTTCTTTTGCCTCTAAAATTGTCGTCTTCACTGTATAGCTCTTGGGCTAAGTTGTATCTGAAAGTGGATGAGTGATAAAATGATAAGTTACTATTTGTTTCTAGAGACTTTCTGAAGTCCAGCACAACATCTGGCCCATAAGTGCTCAGTAAACTTTGTGCAGTTTTCTTAATTTGTATCTTGATTATCTTGTTTCCATTTGTGAGGGCAGAAAGAGGATTTCCTATTGTGAAGTTTACAACTTGTGAAATGAGCTGATGGTTTTATATATTAATGGCCACTCAGGAACTCTCATCAGGTAAATGAATTAGGTAAAACAATAGTTGGTTTGTTGGAAAGGAAATCTACCCATTTTCCTATTATTCTTTCTTGCTGTTGAAGCGTTCGGACCTTGAGCTATGTGAGTATATATACACATAATGATTACAATATCGTATACATTCATATTCTCTTTTAGAACCAGATGACTTGGGCTCCAGGGAGATGTGGTGGGCTATTGGGAGCCTTCTGGGTCTGTGTTTCCTTGGACAGTTGTAGGCATCTGTATGTGTTTTATTCAGTTAACGTATTTATCCATAATTATGTATATATGTATATCCATAATTATTTATAGTCAGATATTTTTGCATTTGTCTGCTAATGCACAGCCCCCCACACATGCTTTGGTCTGTGATGTAAATATATTCTGGGTTAGGGAACACCTGGGACGTTGGTAATGGCCAGGAGTATGTGTGCTTCTGGATGTGTTGTTCTATCTCAAATTGAGTTATGGTAGCTGTCTTAAATTTTTCTGGTTTCTAAAGCTGACTTAAAGCATCTTATATTTTCATGTAGGAAAAGGCCCATCTTTAAAAGGTACCATTTTCTTCTCAATTAGCATGAAGGAGGACAGGCTCTTACCATTCATTTATTTCTCTTCCACTTCTGTCTTACTAGCTTCTCTTCTCCAGTTTCTGGGAAAGAACAGCCAGCCTTAACTATTGGTTTAGAAGTCATTTCAAAACCTATGAGATGCTCTTGTGCAGTTTGCCATGTGTAGTTTGAAAAATCTTCCTAGAGTTTCTGGTACATTTCTCAAGAGAATGGTGTCCTCGATTCCTTGAAATATCTGTCAGATGGTCTGTTATTGTTTTGTGGAACACTTATTACCCACTACCTGCCTATTAACCCAGTAGTTTCTGGAATTTGTAACTCACAAGTCAGTGACATTTGAATACAAGGAGGGATGTTTTAGCACTAAAAAATTGAGACAAATAATCTCAGAATGAAATAAACTTTATGAAAAATTTACTCCATTATCCTTATCCTTTTTATTTATTTATATTCTGAAGGTCTTAGTTACTCTGCATTATATGTTTTATACTACATACAATTAAGCACAACACAATACCCTGCCTTTCTAATCCCTTTATTTTAGGATTAAAGAGTTTGTATCCCTTAAGATGTTAAAATGGAATTTACCTGGCATTTAGAGGGTGAAGGATTAACAATATGTAAACACAGGAGTTAATGAATCATCATCGTTTCTGCTAAAGATTAAGTGCCCAAGTAAATAGAAAAGACCACACTGAGAAGGGACATCCCTAAGACATCCCCAATTGGAAAATGAACCAAGTCATGGAAACTGTGGTAACCCAAGAGCTACCAAAGAGCAAAAATTTTTAATTCTGATGAACTCCAGTTTGCCAGGCTTTCCTTTTATATTTCTTAGTTTTAGTGTTCTTAAAAACTTTGCCAACTCCAAAATGCAAATACTTTTTTGTATGTTTTCTCTCAGAGTTCATATAGTTTTAGGTTTTACGTTTAGGTTTATGATCCATTTTAGGTTAATTTTTATTTATGGTATAGGTTGAGAATTGATGTTAATTTTTTTCCCATATGACTATCCAGTTGATCAAACACCATTCATTAAAAAGACCTTCCTTTTCCTGTTCAGTTGTTTTTTTTCACCTTTGTCAAATCAGTTGACCCTAAACATGTAAGTCCACTTCTGGACTCTGTATTCTGTTCAACTGATCATTTGTCTACCTTTATGTGGGTACAAACTGTTTTGATTATTGTAGTTTTATAGTAAATCTTAGGTAAGTATAAGTTCTTGTTAGTCCTACAATTTTGTTTTTTCAGAGTTGCATTGGCTGTGCTAGGTCATTTACATGACCATATACATTTTGGAATCACTCTTTACAAAAAAAGCTTAATGAAATTTGGATTGGGATTGCTTTCAATCTGTAGATCAATTTGGAGTGAATTACCATTTCAACAAAATGTAGTCTTCTAATCCATGAACTTGGTATTTCATTTGTTAATTTGCCTTTAATTTCTCTGTGCCTTGTTTCATAGTTTTCAGTGTAGAATGCCCAACATCTTTTGTTAGATCTATTCCTGGGTGTTTTATATTTTTTGGTGCACTGTAATTGGAATTATTTTTGAAAAATTTTTTTAAGCTCTGCTGCTAATATATAAAATGGATTTTTGCATATTATTATTGTATCCCGTTATCTTGCTAAATTTGTTTATTAGTTCCAGTGGTAGGTGTATAGATGCCCTGGATTTTCTGTTTAAGCAGTCATCATCTGCAAATAGGGATGGCTTTATTTCTTTTCTGATACTAATGCCTTTGCAAACAAGGCAATCACCATGTCCGTCCAATGTCCTAGATATTACAATAAGGCAAGAAAAATAAATCCGTCTTGGGTGTGGGGAACCTTTCACCTTAAAGTATGATGTTGGCAGTAGGCTTTTTTGTAAGATGAGATGCCCTCTATCACTTTAAGTTCTCCCCTTTTTTTTTGTAGTTTCATTTATCACAAATGGGTGTTGAATATTATCATATGGTCTTTTTTGCATCTGTTGGAGCAGTCATGTTCTCCTTTATTCGGGTAATATATCACATATTTACCTCTTAATATGGTAAATTACATTAACTGATTTTTGAATATTAAACCAACCTTGCATTCTTGGAATAAACTCTACTTGGTTGTGATATATCATCCTTTTTATATTAGAGTCTATTGAAAATATTCTATAAGATTCTGTTCTAGAACATTAAGTTGGATTTTGTGTTAATATTTTGTTAAGGATTTGTGTATCTGTATTCAAGAGAGATATTGGTCTGTGATTTTCTTTTTTTTTGTAATGTTTTTGTCAGGTTTTAGAATTTGGGCTATTTTGACCTTAACAGTGTGAATTGAGCCATGATCTTTCCTCCTCTTTTTTGAAAAGTTTAATAAGATCAGTTTTATTCTTCATGTATATTTGATACAATTTTCTATTAAAACCATTCTTTGAGGAATATTTTTGGATAAATTAATTCCTTTACTTGAAATAAGCTGTTCATATTTTTCATTTCTTCTTGTGTCAATTTTTTAAGTTGCATTTTCAAGGAATGTGACCATTTTTACCAAGTTACTTAATTTGTTGACATAGCATTTTCTTATTATCTTTTCAATAGCTCTAGATTCTTAAGTGATAACCCCTTTTTCATTCCAGATATAGGTGATCAATCTATTTAGCTAGGGATAGGGGGGTGGGAGCGGATATCAATTTTGTTGCTGTTTTTAGGGAATCACTTTTGGCTTTGTTAACTTTCTCTGTTGTATGTTTCTGTTGTTTTATTGATTTCTGCTCTTTATGATTTACCTCTTTCTATTTACTTTTGGTTAACTTTCTTCTTAAACTGGGGATAGTTTTTAAAGTTTTGTCTTTGGAGGACTTGAAGGACTTCATTTGATTTATTTAGTAAATATTTACTAAGATCCTGTGATTCATTATACAGGCACTATTATAGTTCTTAAAGCCATGAAGACAATAAAGTTGCTTACAGGATAGTAGACATTGATACATGTCTACAGTGTGTCATCAAAACCGGCACATCATTTGAAATTTGTTTCTTTGGATTAAAAAAAAAGCTTATAACTGAACTCTACATCTAAAACTAGTGGTGTACTATATGCTGGCTAATTGAATTTAAATTTTAAAAAAGCTTATAACCATAACTACTTAATATTTTCTTACAAGTTTTCCATTTTTAACTGAATAACTGTTATTACACAATAAAAAGAAAATTCTTCCATATTAGTGGCATGTTCCAAATGTCTTGTTCTGTCTTCCAGATAATTTATTATTTGTAATCAACTCCATCAAGCAAGAGATTGTAAACCGAGTACAGAATCCAAGAGAGGAGAGAGGACCCAACATGGGGCAGAAGCTTGAAATGCTCATTAAGGATACTCTTGGTAAGAATATTGGATGAATTCCTAACAGTAACATGTGGTGTAAGGCACATGATTTAAGGAGATATTAAACATTCTTTTAAGGAAAAACTCAAATGTTCTTAATTGTAGTTACTCTTCTTTTTTTTTTTTTAAAGATTTTATTTATTTATTTGTCAGAGAGACAGGCACAGCGAGAGAGGGAACACAAGCAGGGGGAGTGAGAGAGGGAGAAGCAGGCTTCCCGCAGAGGAAGCAGCCCCATGTGGGGCTGGATCCCAGGACGCTGGGACCACGACCTGAGCTGAAGGCAGACGCTTAACGACTGAGCCACCCAGGCGCCCCTGTAGTTACTCTTCTTTACAAGTTGTTTTGTCTTTTGAGATTTTGCATTCATAAACATGTATTGCTGGTTGCCCTGATTTGTTATTTAGACTTCATCGCTGGACTGTTTTAATACTTAGGAAAGATGAACTTCTAGCTCCTTTAACCTTTTATGGGAAAAATAAAGATCCCTGAGCTGTCAAGCCTGCAATTTATATTTTGGTAGAGGTTCTTACCTCTATGTTTTACTCAGTAATACAGTTCACAGGGTTCTAATAAACTTAATTATCTGTTTTTTCCCTGAATAGATTATATAACATGAGGAAGAACAGAGGCAGAGTACTACCTGACAGGGAGGGGAGAGGTAGCTAATACAGGAGAACTCTAGAGGTGCAAGAGCTTAGTTGCCATAAGAGCAGATCACCTTACAGATAAGTAGCATCCCAAGGACATTGTAGCATAATACAATCCATGAAAACCCTGAAGCATCATAAAATTGGCTCAGCTGTTTTATGTGTTTTATTTAGCAATATGTATTGTAGGATTGTCTTTGAAAACTGTTCTTATGCAGTCATTGTGTAGAGTGGCAAACTTCAGTTACCTGAGAATTTTCTTCATTTTTCCCCAGTATGCTATGTATTGAATCAGATCACTTAAAGGAATTAGAGCTTAGTTTTTAATAATTATTTAGTTTCTTACCTGAGTTTTAGGGTAATGAACACTATAAATTGTTCTATTTTTTTTTAATTATAAATATCTTGGAATTTTTTTTTTTACATTTCTGTTAGGATGATTTTTCTTACTTCCAGTTACTATAAATTCATTCATCAAAGTTTCTCCAGTGCCTACTATATGCCAGGTGTTGGGGAATACAGGGATGAATAAGAGAGATTTGATAACTACTCTTAGGAAGCTTGTAGTCTAAAAATGGAAGGCAAAGAATAAACGGGAAAAAATAACGGATTGTGGCAATTCCTGTGAAAAAATCAAGATGTTTAGATGGAGTAGAGTGAGGAATAGTAGTTTATTTCTGTTAACAGAGAAATACTTCTCACCGCTACCAAGGTGATTGAATTTTCTTTAATAAAAAATAAATACACATTGAATGCTTCCATGCACTTCTTAGTAGGTTTCTCATGTCTTTGCAGTTACTAGTTTAGCATTGTGTTCATACTGCATATGAAATATTCTGGTGTTTTTGAAGGGCAATTCGGAATCATTAATAAAATTAGCAATGCATAAAGATTTTGACAAAACAGTTTAACAAATTGACAGCATTCATGTTTGAAGGCCAAAGGAGAAGATTTAAAGGAGAGATCAAGAGCCCGGAAAGGATTGCTTGAGTGTTAGGAAAGGATAAACAGCTGAAATTTATGGGTATTTACTAAGATCCAGTACCTTTCTGTCAAGGTTGGTTAGTTATCGACTTTCACAGCTCTGTGAAGGAGGTATTATTATTATTCTGATTTTACAAGTGAGGAATTAGAAACACGGGAAGGTATTAAAGTAACTTGACGATAAGTTATACGATCAATAAATGGCTGAACCAGGCATAGAATTAAGTTCTTTGAGTTCCAGTGTTCACACTGCCCCCACATGCCATCCCTTAGGCCTGTCATCTAACACCCATCTGTGTAATAGTTGACCTGAGTAGTTCACGTGTGGCCTGCTAATCACTTCATCCTGTAGGCTTGCTTGAGAATTTCTTTTTCTTGACATTCTTTGTAACATTTGACACTTTTGAGCATTTATCTTCATTATTGAAACATTTTCTTTATGGTAAGATACCTTAGGTCTGCATGCCTTGTTTCCTGTCCTTTTACCAAAAAAGGCTAGGTTTCTCTGTGGTTCCAGCAATAGCCACTGGTCTAAAAATTAAAATCGTGTTTTAAAAAAATAAAAGCTTGTTTATTGTAGTGGTTAAAATCAGAGTATTTGAAGTCAGTTTGAGATTTAACTCTTGGCCCTGCTACTTACTACATTAGGACCCTAGGGAAATGACATGACTTCCCTCAACCTCATTTTCTTCATCTGTAAAATATGAACAATGGGTGGATTAAATGGGAAGAGTGCATATAAACACTTAGCACCCTGCTAAGCACATAAATTCTCAATACTCAGTATTAGTTGTTACCATATTACATCTTCACCACTTAGATTTTTTTTAAGAGTTTTGTTTCCACCTTGTTCCTGTAATCCATCACTCATACTTTAGAAAATTAAAGATTTTGTTCATGACAGAGCCAGTTAAGATCATGACCTGGGCCAAAGGTAGAGGCTTAACCCACTGAGCCACCCAGGCGCCCCTCAGTGATTATTTCTTATCAGTAGTTAATTCTCTTTTGCCAAGCTTTGGGAAATGACTTTATATATATAGTGACTAGGTAAGTTCTTAGGATACTAAAATGAATTGAATATGCAGTTATATTTACAGAATGACTTTTTCAAAGTGGAATTGTAAATACATACCAAAATAGAGTACATACAAAATGAAACAAAACTAAGGACAGTATATTTATACAAAAAATTAACACTATGAAACATTAGAAGTCTATTTTGAACAAAACTATCTTTATATGGAGAATAATCTTAGGCAAAGAGTAGTTCCTAAATATCAATACTTTCCTGAACAACCAGTTACTTTTTACCTCTACTTAGATTATTAATTCAGTACCCAAATAGGAAGTCCTGGTGAATTTGCTTCACTTTTTCTTCAAATGAACTGAGGCTGTTTTAATATTTTATGTATTCTTTCAGTCCATTTCTGTCTTTCATGTTCTTTAAAATCATTTTCAGTTCCTTTATTAGGTAGAGGGAGGAACTTAACTGTACAAGTAAAGATTATTTTTATGGGGCACCTGGGTGGCTCAGAGGGTTAAGCCTCTGCTTTCGGCTCAGGTCATGATCTCAGGGTCCTGGGATCGAGCCCTGCATCGGGCTCTCTGTTCATCAGGGAGCCTGCTTCCGCCTCTCTCTCTGCCTGCCTCTCTGCCTACTTATGATCTCTCTCTGTCAAATAAATAATCTTTTTTTAAAAGATTTTTTTTTGTTTTTAATGTAAAGACCTTGTATGTTGATAAGTTTGTATATTCTCCTTACATACAAAAAAGTCAGTTTTACCAGATTCAAAATCCTTGACTTATATTTTTTTTCTTTATTTTAAATGATTTTCTGTTTTTCTTTTGGCATAAAATATTGCTATTAAAAAGTTAATAATCCCCCCCCTAAAAAAACCTAATAGTCACCTTACTTTTTTTCCTTATAACTCATTTGCTATTTTTGCCAATGTCAATAGGATTTTTTCTTTTTCTTTCATTCCCAGTAATTTTAGTAAACTTTGTCTTGGAGTTGTTCATTTTAGTTGATATTCTCATGGGTACACTGTGCTCTTTTAATAGGTAGTTCAGATCTTTTTAGTATTTGATCTGTTTCCTTGCTGGGTTTTTTTTTTTTTTTTTTAAGCTATGTGTGGACCCCACTGCAGGGCTTGAACTCACGACCCTGAGATCAAAACCTGAGCTGAGATCAAGAGTTGGGTGCTTAACTGACTGACCCACCCAGGCACCCCTCCTTGCTTTGTTTTTGTTGTTGTTATTGTTGTTCAGGGACTTACTATTTGTGGATGGGATCTTCTTTGCCTATCTTTAGTATTTTCTGAGGCAAGTTCACTTTTGGTCAATTTTTTTATCTCTTAATTTCTTTAAAGTTCTTTCTTCTTTGTACCCCTCCTTCTCTTAAAAGCATTATTGTTGTGTTTATTTGCTACTCTTATGTTTCTTTGGTTTTGTCTTTTTTTAATTATTTAAATTCAGTTTAACAAGTACTGTATTATTAGTCTCAGGCATAGAATTTAGAGACACAACTGATGCATCAAGTGTCCTCCTTAATGCCCATCACCCACTTAGCCCATCCCCCCACCTGCCTCCCCTCCAGCAACCCTCACTTTGTTTCCTAGAGTTCAGGGTCTCTTATGCTTTGCCTCCCTATCTTCATCTTATTTTATTTTTCCTTTCCTTCCCCTGTGTTCATCTGTTTTGTTTCTTAAATTCCACATATGAGTTGAAATCATATGATATTTGTCTTTCTCTGACATTTTGCTTAACATAATACTCTCTTTTTCCATCCACATCGTTAAAAATGGCAAGAGTTCATTCTTTTTGATGGGTAAGTAATATTCCAGTGTGTGTGTGTGTGTGTGTGTGTGTGTGTGTGTGTGTGTGTTTGTGTGTGTGTGTCCCCACACTACATCTTCTTTATTCGTTCATTCTTTCAGTTCATTTTGAAATTCATTGAGTTCTTTCTGAAATAATAGTGGGTTGTAACCATTTGGGATAATAGTGGGATATGGGTGTTTATAGTCATATCTTTCAGGCACACTTTCATTGTAGGAGTCTTCTCTTTTATCTTACAATAACCTGTTTTTAAAGATTTTTTTTTTATCCATTTGAAAGAGAACATGAGCAGGGGGTAGGAGCAGAGGGAGAGACTTCCCGCTGATCAGGAAACCCAATACGGGCTCGATCCCAGGACCCTAAGATCATGACCTGAGCCAAAGGCAGATACTTAACTGACTGAGCCACCCAGGTGCCCCACTTAAAATAACTTTTTATGGGATTTTTTATCTTAATACATGTAAAACTGTTTTTTCTAAACCTTGAAAAGAAAGTTTAGTTCACGACTGCTTTCCTAACTTCAGATTT